TTCCTTTATTGCATAAAGGCAAAGCAACCTGTCCTGGGTGCATGGCGAGTCAGTGGTACACAGTAGGTGCTCACTAAGTGTGTGATCCTGCCTACTTGATCCCTCAGAGGGACAGAGAATGGCCCGGGTCACCCACCAAGTCAGGGAATTGGCCCCCGAGCTCTTTAGGTCATCGTGGAAACTGTATGGGGTGTGTGGGAGGCTGCACAGAGAGGTGCTCAACAAGTGCAGGGAGCGAAAGAAGCCCCCTCTTAAGCAGGTGACTGTCAGCCCGGCGGCCAGGAAGCTGGGAGCAGACGATGTCAGTGTGGAGGCAGAGGTCTGAGGGACAGTGGGGGCCTTAGGGAGCCCTGTTCATGCCTCTGTAGCGGCCCCGCCTCAAGGGAGCCCCCCGGGGGGCTCTGCCCCTTACCTTCCCCTCCAGGGAGGGCTTTGGCTCCAGCAGCACTGTCATTGCCGTCTCCCTGCCCAAGAGAACAGAGGGAGGGGTGGGCTGAGGTGGGCCGAGGGCCGGCCTCCGGGAGCCAGACAGAAGGCGTCTTCCGAAAGGTCGAGAAGAGCCTGGCGTGGAATCATGGGCCGCACGCCTGCCAGTGTGCTGCGCGCCTCAAGCCCACCACGCCCGCCTGACGATTGCACCCCTTCGCCTGGACCGTGTCCTCTGCCCGCAGTGCCCTTCTCCCCACTGTCCACTTGGCAAACTTTCATCCTCCAACCCTGCTCAGGCTCATCCTTGGAGGGGCTTTCCTTGATGACGCCTCCCTTAGTGCTGACCGCTCCCTCCCCTGGCCCCCTGTCCACCTGGCTCTCTGGCCCCCTTCCAGCGCTCGCCCCCCCGAAGAACTATGCGGCCGGTTCACCTGCTGGGTCCCCTACAACCTGGGAGGGAGCCTCCAGAGCGGGGGAGACCTGGGCCACCTCAGCGCCTCCCCTTTTTACTTAAGCCCACTCTTTGGCCCAGGGTTGGCTCCCCCAGGTCGGGGAGCCATTTTAAAGCAGCTCTTACCTGGGGGAAGATTTTGTTCATGTCTCTGGCCTCCAGCTCCCAGCTCCAGCCTCCTGGCACTGGGGAGCCCTGTGCAGAGAACGCGGCACAGGTTCCTGCCCCGTCACCAGGGGCAGCCTGGCGGAGGGAGGACAGCAGGCCTGGCCTGGCCACACCCTCCCTGCGGGCAGTCCCCTCCCAGGCTCCTGCCTGGCCCTTCCCCTCCGCCCTCTGATGGAGCACTCCAAGGTGGGAATCGTCCTGCCCACATTACCGACAAAGAGCCTGAGGTTCAGAGAGGAAGAAATTGCCCCTAGGTCACACAGTAGGGAGGGGGAAGTGGGGTTCGGATCTGCTTTTTCCTCCACACCAGTGGTGAGACCGGGGGCTCTCAGACCCCTCAGCTGCATGAAGATCCAGGCAGAAATATGGAGAATTAATGTTTTAGTGGCTAAAAAACAGGAATCATTTTCTTATTGTTCTATTCAATTTAATAGGTAATCTATGTGGAGAGAATATGCATTTTCCACTACAATTAAAAAGCAAATATAATTTTAAATTATTTTCTTTTAAAAAGTGGCCATGTGCCTTTTCATCTTTCCGGAGATGGTGCCCGTGGTGGGGAAGGGGCGGGCGGGTTGCTCACCTGAATAACCCTTGCTACCCACCCCACAGGTGGCAGCCTCATCCCACTGCTGAGGAGACCAAGGCCCTGGGAGCTCAAGGGACTGGCTGGAGGACCAAAGGAGGAGAGGTGTCCACCTTTGAACTGAGCGCGGGGCCTCCAGGGAAGTCCCTCTGCAGCCTGCCTCTGATGCCCAGGAGTTGCCCTGGGATATGAACTACTGGAGCCCCTGAGGTGGGGGTGGGATGGATCAGTGCAGGAACAGCCCTCCCGAGGCAGCAGCCCCGGGAAGGGCTAACCCCTCAGCCAAGAGAACAGGTTCTCCCGAGGGCCCTGTCACTGGCGCTGGCGTGGGTAAGTTGCTCCCCTTTGCTGAGCCTCAATTCCCTCGTCCATAAAATGAAAGGATTAGACTAGATGAAGGGGGGCGTCTTGGGACTCCCATAATCAGACCATAAGACCAGACTGGAAGTAGGTTTAATTGAGAGTGATCCCTGGAAATGACAGCTGGGGAGTGAGGCGAGTGAGACAGGGAAGGGAAGGACCCCATAACTGGCATGTGATCAGGCACATTCCCGCGATGCGCAGATAGAACTTTCTCCTGCCAAGGAATTCCAGGAGCCAAGGGAGAAGGCGTGCCTCCGAGTTACCCGCCCCCTGAAGGTGAGGGCACGGGGGCAGGGGGGATGTGCTTGTCAGCTCTTGCTAGTCAGCGTCTGAGAATTGCCGGGGGTATGACCTGCCGGCTCCGCTGGCCTGCCGTGGGCGCCGAGCTGCCTGTCTTGGCCGTGGCAAGCCCGGCTGACGTGCCCTGAAGTGGAACGGGTTGGGGAGTGTGGGCTGGACACCCCATAGCATCTGCCAAAGATGCGAACTAGATTTCATCTTGTACGCCAACGGCGACTGATGGATAGAGGATGTCCGGAACATGGGGTTCAGGAGGATTCTGAGGTCAGGACTCAGGGTTTTGTGACTGACTAGAGATGTCTACCATGGGTTCCCTTGGGCAACCCTGCTGAGCTCCCTTGGCCTTGGCTGGGGCCTGCTTGAGCCACGCCCGGGTACACTTCTAGCAAGAGCAGGAACTTGGGTGCTGACAGTCCAAAGGGCCCCCCGCTGCTAGCTGTGCAACCTCTGAGCTAACCTCTCTGAGCTTCAGCTTCTCACTTACCTCTCTAAACTCCTTTTCCATTCATTCCTGAAGTAAGGCAGTGCCCCAATCAAAGGACCTCTCTGTCCTCCCCACTCCACACCCAACCCCACACCAGGTCCCCTCTGCCTATTTGCTTTAACCTCGCCCTTCTTCCCCTCTTTCCTTCCCTGGGGAAAAAAAGTCCCCAAAACTTATTACAGAAAAGTAGGAAAAATTAGGTAACAAATAATTATGTATCTACCCTCCAGAGTTAACAAATGTTAAGATTTAGTCATTTTTGCTTTAGCCTTTTTTTTCTATTAAGTTTAGCAAAATCAAAGGCGTCTTTTCTTCCCAGTTGTGTTCCCTTCCTTCTCTCCCCAGAGTCAACCAGTTTCCTGAATATGCCGTGGACGCTTCCAGGAGCTGTTGCTCTCTCAAGACACACAGACACACACACATAGAATCACACGGTAGGGGCACCTGGACTTTAGCAGAATTTGCCATGCCGTTCTTCCAGGGGGCCATACCAATCTGCACTCCCATTAGCAGCGTGTGAGATTTCCATCTTTCTCCCTAGCCTCAAAACGCTCAGATTCTCTGGCACCTGCGTCTGTCTGGTAGGTGCAAAATGGTGTCTTTGGGTGTGGGTGGTTTCATTTGCTCATCTCTAGTAATTACTATTGCTACAACTAATTACTGACAAGTATTGAACACTTACTTTTACCACACGCTGTACCAAATGCTTTATGTATGTGAACTCATTTAGTCCTCCCAGCCACAGGATATGGGGACTATGATCTCCATTTTACAGATGAGAACACTGAGGCACAGAGACATTAAATTACTTGCCCAAGGTTCACAGTTGAAAAGAGGCAGAGCCGGGATACAGATCTGGCTGGCTGAAAAGTTCACACTCTACCTGTACCTACACCCTTACTTTTCTAAAGTGTGTTCCTCAGACCAGCAGCATCTGCATCATCTGAGAGCTGGTTAGAACTGGGGTCTCACTCCAGCCCCACCAAACCAGAACCTGCTTCTTAACAAGATCCTCAGATGGAGAGCCTTGCCCGACCCCATGTATTGTGCTGCCCTTTTTTATATATTGGTCATATGGATTTCCTCCCTGGCGTATTGCTTTTTCATATCTGTCATTCATTTTTCTCTCTCTCTTTTTTTTAAGATTTTATTTATTTATTTGAGACAGAGAGAATGAGAGCGACAGAGAGCACATGAGAGGGGGGAGGGTCAGAGGGAGAAGCAGGCTCCCTGCCGAGCAGGGAGCCCGATGCGGGACTCGATCCAGGGACTCCAGGATCATGACCTGAGCCGAAGGCAGTCGCTTAACCAACTGAGCCACCCAGGCGCCCGTCATTCATTTTTCTATGGGTGATTTGTCTCTAATTGATTTGTGGATTTCTTTTTGCTGGACTGTAGCTTGTCACTTGCTTAGAGTGGCTTCTGCTGGCTCCCTCTGCCTTTCTAAATCCATCTTTTGTGCCCAGAACCCAGAACCAAGTAAAAATCTCACTTCATGAAGCCTTCTTTGACTGTCCCTTCTTCCCCGGTTTGACCTTTCCCTATATACCTTACCATCTGGGGCTCTGTCTTGGCCTGGCTGTGGCTGGGGGAAAACCCTCTGGACATGAGATCAGCCAACCTCAGCTTGTTAGACAGACCTGGGTCTTCATCCCAACTCTGCCAAATTAATACTAATTTAAGGTGGCAAGTCACAGCCTCTTGAAATCCATGTCCTCATCTGGAGAATGAAGACAAGAACACTTACCTCAGAGCGCTATGGTTAGAATGAAGTCAGTGCACGTATGTGAAAATGTTCTGCTCCCTTTGGGGGCGCAATATTGTTTCTGGAGGCCTTGGTTTGTTTACAGTTACAGACAGCTGCTAGGACTGCTTCTTAGTCCAGGGCCCAACTCTGGGTTAGAGAATGCTAACCGGCACCACCATTAGATGGACCCAGGGACCTCCTTCCAGACATGCCTAGAGGTGAGGCCTGTCCCTGCCTCAGCATTTATCACTCCTCCCCTAAGCCTCCCATAACTTGGGGAGCCCTGACTGGTGTCTCTCCTCCCTCAGACTGTCTACTCAACTCTAGAATGGAACTGGCGGGGCCCAGCCTGCTTTCCTAAAGGAATGTGGTAAGCACCCATTTAAGGGGATGGTGAGACTGCTCTAAAGGGCTTGGCGGAGGGCACAGACAAACACCATCATGACAGATCTAAGCAGACACTGTTACAAGATAGCATTACAATATTGTTTAATGCAGATGATCCAGATTTTATCGAAGTTTACACACTTATGCATTATGAACGACAGATGCAGGGTTCCAGCAATGACCGCATGACAGTATATCTTGAGGTAACATTATCGAGCTTTTGTTGTCTAATCAGTCACTGATTTCTTTCCACCCAAGCCTTCAATTATTGCTGTCCCAATGTTGCAGAACAATTCAAGTATAAAAAGCACACAGGAAACAGTAAAAAAAAGAAGAAAGAAAAAAAGGCCCAAATAATTTAGAATTGAACAAGCAAACAAAAATATTTTGCTCCTAAAATGACAAAGTAAAACTGTTTGTGAACTAACTGGAATTTAAATAAAAACTTAAAAAAAAAATGGCAAAAGTTAGACAACTTCTAAACCAAGGGTTTAGTGCACTTGAATGGGAAAGAAATAAATCTTTATTTTCACTAACTTCTAACTGAAATATAGCATTTCCTTCAACTATGAATGTAGGCCACAACTGACAGTCTATGAACAGTACCTGCGACTTTGTCACCAATAGAAACCACAGAGATTCAGATATCATATTACAATTGTTGCAGGTTATTTCGAAATAATAACCTGAAATTACTTTGGAATTAGAGATTCTAGAACTACCACTAGACCTCAATTTATGTGTTAATAAAGAAGTACATATATACACAACCACAAAATCTTAAAAATGCCTTAATAACTATATTTTAACATAATGAGTTTCCTTTGCAGTCCTTTATATTCAGTGTTATGCATCTAAAAACATGATTCTGAGGAGTCCACAGGCTTTATCAGATCGCCAAAAAGGTCCATGGTGTGAAAAAGGTTATGAACACTTGCTCTCAACAAGTTAAGTCATCAACATCACAGGAAGAGAACACTTAATTGTGAAGTATATGGAGCTTCGACAATCACAAATTTGAGAAAACTATGCTTCCCAATCTAATTATTGCAAGGAGTCGGAAAATCCAGATTGTACAAGCTAGCTTCTCACAGAAGTCCACATTTTCCACTATTTCATTCTTTTATCTCTATTACTGTACACACTTCTACCCCCGGACTCTAGTTTAAAACAAGTAGTCAAGGAAAGAAAGATTAAAAAGGTAGCTCAGATGTTGATGATACTCAAATGTAAACATGACAATCCTAGCAACTGGACACCTGGTGGGAGGGGCTCAGGAGCACACTGGGTTCATAGAGGCTGGGTTGGCAAACCTAGAATTTGAGCATAGTGATAAGTGGACCTAGCATTGTGGTTTAAAAATTTAGCCCAATATAAGTCTGGTAAGAAGCTTGGCCTCCACAGAACAGCCTTCCTAGTCTGCTTGCCAACACTTAGATTGTGATCAGGACCCTGAGACCAGTCCTAGGATTTACCATCCAAACAATAATGTGGAGGGATAGAGAGACTTAGAGATAAGGGCTCAAAAATACATGTGAAGTAAAATGAAATAGTATTGGGCATTAAAAAAAAAAAAAGAACTCTGGGAATGAAATGGAATTTCCCATTTCAGTGTGGCTGGATAAGTATGCAATTTAATAGATCTTAGAGGTTACTACAGAACTGGTACCTTCAGCTTCTGAACTTGCCCTTCTGGTCTACCTCCACATTGTTGGCAAGTGAATGGGTCTAAAACACTGTAACTCTCTTGCTTAAAACCTTCCTATGGCTTCTATTGTGCTCAGGATCAAGTCCAGGTTTTATAAGGTCCTTTATTATCTTGCCTTCCCAGCCGCATCTATTGCTATGCTTTTGCATGCTCTATCACACACAACCTGCTAACCAATTTGCTGTCCCCACCCTTGAGCTTCTAGGTCTTTCAGTGCACGGCTCCCACTGCCTGGAGTACTTTTTTGACTTTCCCTCCTCCTCCTCCAGGTTTAAGCTGCGATACTACTTCCTCCCATAGGTCCTCCTACGTCCTCCCATACTACTCTATGCTTATCTGGTCATAGACCTTATCACATTAATAGTCCCCAGACGTTGAGCAACCATTTTTGTTTGTTGCTGAAGTCCTATCACCCAGCACAAGGCAGGGCACTCAGGCTCTCAAGTGGTTATTGGATAGTTAAAACTGTGAATCTGGATCAGGATACCTGCGCAAAATCCCCACCATGGTGTGGTGGTATGGGGATTCAGATGAGACTTGTTTTATAGTTTGCTCCAAAAGTGGTGGTGGTGGTGGGGGGGCTGATTAATTTTATCAGAAAAGGTCTAGAAATAGATCAATAATTCTAGATCAGTAATTCCCAATATGTGTCCTAAGATACTTAAGAGCCCATAAAAATCCTAACAGCTATTTTACATATTTCAAAAATCACAGTGGAAATGGCACATGTATCTAAGATAAAGCCAGACCAATAACAAAGGATAAAGTTGTTTGCTTTTGGCTGCACTATCAGAGTAAAAATAGTAGATTTCATACGATGATCAGCAGCTCAGGTTGGCTGTTAATGCATGCCATCTCTCTGAGACAATATCGATAGGCCAGATAACCTGGTAATTTCTGACTTACTGGAAAAATGTATCATAAATAAAAGGGTCTATATAGTTTTGTGAGAAGATTGGGAACCTTGGGCCTAGATCATTCACTATGGTGGTTACTGCCATCTCTGCAACTGTCTGAATTAGTCTGTCTCTTAGACCAGGGACCTGATCCAAGGACCTTCTTGGGAGCCTGGGAGGTTTGAACCAGAGACTCAAGGGTCTTGACAATTTGCCTAGGACCAAGATAAGATTCTCAAGAAGATGCTGTGTGGTAGGAAAGCCAGGTGCTGCCTGTCTCATGGAAACAAGTGAAGAGGGACCCATCCAAGAAGGGCTAAACTTTAAAAGAAAGGACTGGTTTTGTTGCTTGTGATGGAATTTTAGGGTGGTGGTGAGTTTTTTGTTTCAAGTAAAACTCTTCCCGAAAATGTCAGTCTGGTTTAATCATGCTAAACTGAAAAAGGCAGAACACGAATATTTGAGTGCCTACTAAATAATGAGTGCCTACTAAATAACAGGAATGACTGGGTATTGCCACATATATGGGGTTGTCTCATAAACAAGAGGGGAAAGTCTGTGTAAACTTGAATCAGGACTTTCAAGAGGAATGAGAGTGTCTCAGGGGTACCTCATTCAAGAAGCAAAGAGAAACAAGACCAGGGGAAGGGAGCAGAATCTAGGACAATTGTCCAGTCGCTCCTTATGCAGGCTTCACTTTGTGCTGTTTTAGATGGGAGGCCTCTCCTCAGGCCTCGGGGCTCTCAGGCTCCCACACACGTGCAGCACTTGGCAGATCTCCCCCTCAGCTTGCTTCACTGGGTGCATTACTATTAAGTCTGTGCCTCATTAAGGGATATAAGTATGTATCATGGGGCGGGGAAATAAGACTTTTTTTTTTTTAGGTGACTCCAATCTTTGCCTCATGTTTTTCAACTGTTTTCTCACAAGAAATAAGAAAGAGACAATGACCGCTAGATGACTGCCCAGTAATTCCTTCCCTCTTCCCCATCTGGATGTGTGCGCATACTTTCAAACCCCTCTCCCAAATCTAGACAAACTTTAAAAAACCCAAACCTATCATTTTGTGACCCAAGTGTGACTTGTGTAGTTAACTGTGTTTCCTCCTGACCCTAAGCAAGCAGACAGCCCATGTCAGGTGAAGGTGTGACTCACTGCGCTCAAGACGCCCTACCACCCGCACCAGCAATGCCCCGCGAGTCAGGAGAGCACTGCTCTGCAAAGTTCTGTAACGCTTCATGCTGTGACGACACTGGATCATGTTGAGACTGTGGTGCACTGTGTCACCTAATGTCACCCTTACTCTTAAATCTGCATTACTGTAGGTTAAAGGAATGATAATAACAAGTCTTTGCCAAGTGTGAAATCTATACTTAATTCTGCATCACAAGAGTCTGATTCTTATTGTCAACATGAAACGTTTTCTCTGAAAATATCTTTAACTTACACATGGTATGCTTTCTAACAGAGAAAAATAGCTCTTTGGAAAGACTCATCCAACAAAAATTCTAGAGCCTATACAAAATAACATAAAACGTACTTCTTAGAGGGTCATCTTTGCTTCAGTTTGTTCTCTGGTCATCCTATTACATAGCAATAGACAGAACATTTCATAATTCTTTTCCGGTTGGGTAGGAGTGAAAGGAACGATCTGGAAAATCAGGACTATATTAACTCAAATTTCGGCACATAATTATTCAAATAAAATTTTAATGATTTCAGTCAATACAACTGAAAGTGTAGTGTCATTAAAGGGCATTTCCTGCTAAATCTCAAAATACAGGTTGTGGGCCTTTCTGAGCAAAAGCATCGAATCCTATGGAGTATTCAGTTTATTAACTAAGGTGACAGACAGACAGTATTGTGGCAGGAGGTGGGGAAGAGCAATGATCAGCTCACAGAATGTGGCTAAGAAAGAAAACAAACAAAAACAATGTAAATAATAAAATAGCTACAGGTATTAGTAAAATAAAAATGCAATCCCAAACATCCATCTCTTAAATTACTAGAAAAGAAGTTACAGATAAAGTTACAGCAAATACAGTCTTCACAGATTTGGGTAACTTTATTTGCATTTTATAGTGATTTTTAAGTCCTATCCAATGAAACCATCTTTAGAAGCTCTATGAGGAATGAAAATTTAGATGTCTATTACCCTTCCTTTAAAAAAGAAAAAAAGCTTAAATTTCTGAATGAGCAAGATTCATTTTTGTAGGTAGAGGCCCTGCTTCTTCATGGTCTTCAGCTTTAGATCTAACAACCACAAGAGAAGAAGATGGGTATCTGTTTAGCTTTTGTTCATTCACAAATTCCAAGTCACCATAGATACTCAGCTTCTGCAAAAGAAAATCAATGCACATTAACAATTTGAATAGTTAAGAACCTCTCTGAGTACGTCTTCAAATAACAATTTAATCTACAGGTATTTGGTAAAACAAAACAAAAAACTATAGACATTTCAAGAATGAAGAATGCTTTTACTCAGTGTTACTGATATGTGATTCAGCTTCCAATAAATGGCCAAAGAAAACTTTTCCACATGTCCCAACTTAAAATACTTAGAAAGATAACAACTAAGTATCAAGAAAAATTGCTCAGGTTTAAATGGAGTTAGTGTGGTCAAACCAAGAGCACTGATTCTGGATGTTCGATGTGTTAGGCGATCAATTCCTTTAAGATCTTAGCTCTCTGAACAAGTGATCAAATGATTTGGGGTAAGTTTTGACTTAACACATTGGAAAAAGATATTTCAAAAGGCTATGAGTAGAACAAAGAATATACATGAAACACTTTAACACAGATACAAATCTCTTCAGAAATATATAAAAGCTCCTCAAATTGTTTCTATCATATCCAAGAAAATACTACAAAAAAAGAATCAATGTAAACAGCATAAAACTCCCTGGACTGTAATAGTTATGTCTAACATCTTTTGAAAGTAGGTCTATTTGGATTAGGTCTATCTCCTAGATGCAGAAAAGCAAAGTGAGAAGTTTTTACTACAGAATGGGTAGATGTCGTTAACTCATACAGCAACAAATCTCTGAATCTATCAGTTAACAACTGAAGTGCTGACATTATTAACAGGGAAACTGACTAGATTATAAAGCAAAAACCACCTAGAAGTACTTGATATTGGAAAAGTATTTTTTAAAAGATGCTGAATAACGAGGACTTTCAAGAGATTAAGCATCTACCAACACTGCTACATGCTACAGCATGGATGAACCTTGAACACATTATGCAAAGTGAAAGACATCAGTCATGAGAGACCACATTTTGGGTGTTTATGGCTCAGGGTGGTGGTGGCGGTCCTTGGGAGGCAGTGGGAGTGACTACTAATGAGTCCGAGGTTTCTTTTTGGTGTAATGAAAATGTTCTAAAAGTGACTGTCATGATGGGTGCTGACTTGAACATGTTTCAGATGTGGCCTGATGCCTACAGTTTCAAGGCAACAACTATCCTGCAACAACGAGGGAGCCCAGTACCTTACGCTTTTCCAGTAAGAGTATCTTCCAGACAAATTCAGTGGTTGATGGATTGGGCATAAAGCTGACATAATGTGGCCTCCTTAAAACTCAGAATTAACGTGTGATAATTTGCTCTGGGACACTGGGAAAGAAAAACTTTCACAACTTTACCAAACAGCATTTAAAGACCTTGAAACAGCAACCAGGAACTGTTGCAATGATTTCAAACATCGACATGGAAGAAGCTATCTAGAACAGGAAGAAAGTGTAAAATGTGTGCGGAGAAATGAATGAGAGCATATGGATAATCTGTAGTATGTATATTGATTTTGTGTCTATTCTGCATTCTCAAATTACCAATTAAATACAAGAGTACAACAGAGATTTTCAACAGTATTAACTTGATAAGTTTACCACCCAAGCGTCCTTTATGAAAAAAATTACTTAAGAAAGTACTCCAGCAAAAGTAATTCAAGAAAGCAAAACACGTAGAATACAAGAAACAGCAGCAGTTGAGAGGACTTAGAAAATGGGAAGAAAACTAGGACAAAACAAAAAAAGATTCCATTAAGCAGAGATAGTTGGAAGACTCCCTTGGGAAAGTTTTAAGTAATTCAGTTTTCTATTTGCTTTTATGTGACTCTATTCACCACTGTATTTGGTTCTATTTTGAATACTTACATAGTCATAATATTGTAAATGCTGTCTACTGGATTTTAATTTTCCAAGTCAACCAGTAGCAAAGCATTGAAGTATATATACCGAAGAATTAACATTTGCATTTTATTGTCAAGGGTCATAATTAATGAAAATTGAGAGTATGGGAAGAAAGAGGGAAGGAAAGGAAGTAATGAGGAGTCAGCTGAAATTTACAGAGAAATCACTAAAAGTCTATAAAATTTACATTACAAAAACCAGAATGTGAAGAGATGAAGGTGATGTGGGAGATAGTATGAGCAAACCAAGTTCCTCATTTTTCAGTAAGAAGACCTCAGATAATGTCTAAAGTTGATAAAACAAGAAACGAGATAAAATTCCAACAGAAGATAAAAATTATATAGAAGATAAAATTAAAATGTGGTAATTACTTAGAAAAATTGCTTAAACTATTAACTGATTTATCTGAGAAGTGAAGAAAAAGAAGACAATTGAGGTCACACATATTACTTCTAAAAGTTAACAAGTAAATTAGTAAGTATGCAGTGGGCTTTGGGCCTGGCTCTGCCATTAGCCAGTTACACGAGCTCGGGAAAGCTGCTTAAATCTCCAAAACTCAGCTTCTTAACAGAATTTGGATTTAAAAACTGTGGCACTTACATTGTTTTCTGATTTTCTGACTCTTTTAGCAGACTTAACACTTCTGAACAGTAAGGTTCTTGGTCTTTTTTTTTTAAAGACAAAGAAAATAATGCTTATTACAATTTAAGACATATTCACCCTACTTCCTGAATCTTGGAAGCCTTCATCATTTCATTTCATTCCATCTTGATCATAATATTCTCAATTGTATCTCTAGTCCCTTGAACATAGCCTGGCACATAGTAAGTTATTCATAAATGTATGTGATTTACTAACGTCAATGTTATTAGGAATCTTCCAAAACCCTTCTTCTTCTTCTTTTTTGTATAAAACTGCATTTTCTTTATTTCACATCTTTGATTTCCTAACAAAATAAACAAAAATCCCACAACACACATCCAAACCCAATGTCATATGTGGGAAAAGATAGCGCTCAAGGCCCTTGTATCCTGCCTTAGACAGAAAGACAGGAGGGGAAAAACCCACTTGGAATCAGCAGAGGGAACCAGGTGGGCCAGGGCCACTCAAGGCCACTGGGGAAGCCATGGGGACACTATACAGAGGGCACAAGGTCTGCAGGTAGAAACTCCTAATCTACTTGTTCCACGAGAAAGGCATCCCTCATCAGCCTCAAGGGGGAGGATCTCATCAGGAAGAGCAGCGCTGGGTTTCTGTGCTGTCACTTCATCTGTATCAATGCCCAGCCCTTACTTGACCATGAAGTGGATAACTGCTGGAGTGGGTCTGGGGATCCTCAAGTGAGAAGCCGGAAGAGAGAAGTGTCGTTTCAAACACGAGCACCACCAAGTCCTTGATGACCTTGTCATTCTTGTCGGCCTCTGCCTTCTGCTGCAGTGTCTCCACAATGGGGTGGTCAGGGTTGAGCTCCAGGTGCTTTCTGGTCATCCTACAGCCCGTTGCAGAGTTATCCCAAAGTGCCTGGGCTTTTCTGATGTGCTCCATGTTAGCTGTCCAAGTGTAGGTGCTAGTCACAATGCAGCAGGGTGAAGACCTAAGCCTATTGGAAACTGTCACCTTTTTTTTTTTTTTTTTTTTAGATTTATTTATTTAAGAGAGAGAATCCTCAAGTAGACTCCCTGCTGAGCGTGGAACTTTATGCAGGGCTCGATCTCAGGACCCTGAGACCATGACCTGAGCCGAAATCAAGAGTTGTACGCTTAACTGACTGAGCCACCCAGGTGCCCCAGAAATTGTCCCCTTCTTATCTAAGATTTCTTTCATGAATTTGCAGAGGTTTTCAAACGGCCTTGTTCTCCTCCACTTTCTTCTTCTCCTCTTCATTCTCAGGCAGCTCCACGCCCTCCTTGGTAACAGGAGACCAGGCTCTTCACATCAAACTCCTTGAGCTGCTGCACGCAGTATACGTCAATAGGCTCGGTTATCTAAACTACCTCAAAGCCCTGCTTCTGCATTTGCTCCACAAGAGCAGAGTTGACAACCTGCTCTTTGCTCTCACCAGTGATGTAACAGGTGGACTTCTGGGTCTGCTTCATGTGAGAGACATATTCTGAAAGAGAAGTCCTCTCCTTTCTAGACTAGGAGGTGTGGTAACACAGCAGCTCAGAAAGGAGTAGCCAATTAGTCCATGGATTCTAAGCTTTTAAATTTTTAGAGACTGGCTCATACAATTTCTTATATAGTTCTCCTTGTCTTCTGCCAGCTCAAAGAGCTCAAGGCACATGTTCACAGTATTTTTGCAAATGACCTTGGAGATTTTGCTCTGTTGTAGTGTTTCATGGGCAATGTTCAGGGGCGGGTACTCAGAGTCAACCACAACCATGGATGAAGTTGAGATACTCTCTTATCAATTCATCATAGCTGTCCATGATGAACAGACAGCAGACTGAGTCTGATATTGTTCTTTTTATTCTTGTTCTCAGAAATCAAAAGGAGCCCAACAGGGAATGAACAGCAATGCTCTAAACTCTAACTCACCTTCTAGAGATAAGTGCTTGACTACCAAGTGGTCTTCCCAGTCATTGGTAGGACTCTTGTAGAACCCTCCATATTCCCCCTGGGTGATGTCACCAGAGTTTCTGGTCCAAATGAGCCTGTCTTGTTCAGTTCTTCCTGATAAATACATTTCTCCTTAATCTTCTTTGTTCTCTTTTTGTTGTCCTTCCTGCTATCATCCTCCTCACCTGAGCCCACATCTTCAGTCTTGGGTTTCTCATTATCTTTATCTCCTTTCTCACCTTTCTATTCCTCTGCCTCACTATCAATGATTTCTTTCTCTTGTTCCTTCTCCAAATAAAGGGTGATGGGATAACTGTGAGTGCTTCTTCACCACTTCTTTGACCAGCCTCTCCCAAGTACTCTGGTCTTCTTTAAGGTGGAGGACCACTTTGGTAGCCCGGCCAATGGGCTCATCATGGTCCACATATATAGTGAGGGAGCTCCAGCAGAAGACTCCCAGGCACACTGCTCATCATCACTATCCTTTGTGATCACAGTCACTTTCTCTGCCACCATGGAGGCAGAATAACAGCCAACACCAAACTGTCCAATCACAGAGAGGTCTGCATCAGCCTAAAGAGGCTCCATAAATGCTTTAGTACCCAACTTGGCAATGGCTCCCAAATTATTTATGAGGTCAGCTTTGGTTATGTAAAGGCCTGTGTCCACCGGAGTCAGGGTGTATTCCTAGGGGTTTAAGTTTTTTAACACTGTCCAACTTAGAAGGGTCTGTCAGGCTCTGATAGAGAAACTTGTCCATGCACTACTGATCAATTCCCAAAGGAAAATTTCCTCCTTGGAACAGAAGGTATTGATGACAAGAAACATGAACTGGGCAATTTCTGTCTGGAAGGCAAGTCTCCACCTCCTCCTCTCCATGGTGCACTTCCTCAGGCATCATAAAGGAGAAAAGCTGCAAGCACTATAGACCAGGGTGGGCAGGGACTGCATGGGAGCAGCTCAAGAAAGCTAAAACCCTTTTTAACTGACCACATGAAATCAGAGGATCACGATCTTGACAAATAATTAAAAAGGAAGCACACAGATGATGAGATAACACCGAGGAAGCATCTATATCACCACCTGTTGCAATAGCAAATTTCTGCCTGATCTCTAGGAAGAAATATCCAATACTGCTGCATCCTGTTCTCACATGTCAAGATTGACGTGCCCAACTAGGACCACTATGAATGACAATTCTTTATCTTAAACAGATAGCTCAACAAGAGAAAGTGTCATCCCATAAAGTTTCAAAAATGACATAAAAAATGTGAAAAAGAAAAAAAAGTAGAGAAATGAGAAGAAATCTTTATAAGTCAAGTCACTCAAAAATGACACTGCTTTAAGATCAACCAAAGAAATGAAATTCTTTGCCAACTTTTTCTGGTCATTATAATCAAATGATATATGATGAGTACCTACTATGTGCAAAGCAGGCTAAAGATAAATTATTACAGAGCTTTCCTATACAAGAAAAACAAAGCTGCTCCTAAGTTTCTAAGATCACACTCCTGATCTTTATTGCCACCATTTTAAACTTTATAGTGACTAAAAAGGAAGCTTGTTCTATTTCATGTTTGAGCTCCCAAATACCAGGTCAGTACTGAAGAGACACACATTCTCTCAGCAGGCTTATGATTTCCTACAAACACACAGGATCATATATGTAAATAATATAACAAAATATAAATAATATTGCTCACACATGAATTATACTTGTAGAACTTAAAATGAAGTCTTATGTTACTATGGAAAGGGGTCAAAAATAATTTATGTTTCAATAATAAAATCAATGAGAAGGTTTTATGAAAGTGAAAAAGAGTTGGCTTTTGGCCAATAAAACTGCGTAACTTTGGTATGCTAAATTTTCAGCTATTTTTACAGTAAACAGAGGAAAAAACACCAGGGACAGAGTATTTATACTGTAATATGTTTTAAAACAAGAACCAAAATATTAGTATGTATTAAAAATTATTTATGCTGAAAAGAAATCCACTACAATGGAAACACTACAGGGGTGCCTGGGTGGCTCAGCTGGTTAAGCATCCGACTCTTGGTTTTGGCTCAGGTCATGATCTGTCGATTGTGGGATGGAGCCCTGTGTCGGGCTCTACACTCAGTGTGGAGTCTACCTCAGATTCTCTCTCCCTCTCCCTCCCATTCATTCTCTCTCTCTCAAATAAATAAAATCTTTAAAAAAATAAAATAAAATGGAAACACTACAGTAGTTTTGGATGATAAGTGATTTTTCTTTCTGCTTCTTTGTATATACTTTACAAATTTCTACAGTAAAAATAAAGAATTTTTATAATGAAAAAGCAATAGTTGAAACATTATTACCTAGCCAAAGGGGGTTTCACATAGGAAATAAAGCCTAAAAGCAGTGAATCTAAAGGGCTGTTTTCCATACATTTTTCCAGAAAAATATATCTCCTTAGAAAAGTACAGGCCTTTTGAGGGTGTAGCCATAATTTTGATTGTTAAGGATACGTAGTAGAGTTCTAGAGAGGGGCAAGGAAGAAACATCCATATGGCAGATATCTAGGGGGAATATAACAGCTGCCAACAGGACTCTGTGTGTAGTGCTGATGCCTTAAGCTTTATGATCACAGGGGCCAAGGGGCGTATGTGGGAATAGTGAGGTGTTTCCCAAAGAACTTGGAAAACAGGAGAGAATTTCTCACAGAATTAAAGCTATACTATCAAAACAAAATTTAGAGCACTGACAAAGATCTGAAAGGAAGAGAAGCTCAAGAGTCATCTGAAAGGGAGGGAAAGACCCCCAGGTCTGTAAGATGTAACCAAAGCCACAATGAGAAGAGGTCATTGCCATTAAATCAAGTAAGGAGATAAGAGAGGAAAACCCATGAGATGCCCATCTGAGAACTGTTTGCATAAGAGAGAATTTGAGGATCCTGGCTCAAAAACATGAACCATGTGGTCCAGGTGGTTATCTATCTTCCTAGTGTCAAAGAGGGCACACAGGAGATCAGCTCCTGAATGAAACACAACATCAACTCTCCTATTTATGATTTCAGGCTAATTAAAGAAACTTCAGGGTACTGGCTTTTGAGTCAGATTACCTGGGTTAAAATTCTGATTCTGCCACTACTAGTAAGTGATACTGGGGCAATTATACACTCTTCTTTTGCAGTCTTCATATCTGGAAAATGGGGATAATAATAGCAGCCATCTCACAAGTTACTGAAAGGACTGAATGTGCTAATTCAGATAAAACATTGAGAACAGTGCCTGGGAGAAAGTGCTCGACATCAGTCAGTAGGCCTGGGGACCAGGATCCAGGCTGTGGTGGATTGATCAAGGTAAATTCCACCTAAGTCAGCCATCCAGTCTTTCCTGACAATAACTGGACCAATCTCTATGGAATTTTTCTTTGACAAAGGGCACCCGGGGAGTAAGGAAAAGGAACTGTACTGATGAACAAAAAGGAAGGAACAAAGTACCACAGGGTGGGTGGGGGTCAATAGGATTTATTAGTATGAGGATGTAGAGAGCATAGGGCAGCTCAAAAGAAGTAACAGGCAAAGGCATTCCTATAAGGTAAGTAATTTCAGTTTTATCAGGAACATCAAAATGATTACAATATGGACATCAAAACTAAACAATAACACAAATAGGTAATGCAGAAACAGGATGTTATCTGTATATTCATATCATAAACAGATGAGTTCTATAGAAATCTACCTATTCTTTAATACTTCCACAATTCCAAGTTCTTCCCAATCCTGTCTAAATTTATCCATTTGATTTCCTAATTTAAGTTCTTCTTACCAAGTCAATTCCTTATAGTCCTTCCTTGATAGCTTATTTTTTTTTTTTTTTTTGAGAGAGAGAGTGAGAGAAAGAGAGAGAGCACAAGCATGGAGGGGGGTGGGGAAGAGCAGAGGGAGAGAGAGAATCTTAAGCAGGCTCCACAGCCAGCATGGAGCCTGAAGTGGGGCTCGATCTCATGACCCCAAGATCATGACCTGAGTTGAAATCAAAGAGTTGGACACTTAACTGACTGAGCCACCCAGGCGCCCCACCTGATAGCTTTTTCTTGTCTGTAACTGGGAAAATTATACACTCTCCTCTCTCTCTGCTAATCCAAGCCTTACTACCCATTTTTCAAAATTTAGGTCAAGATCCTCTTATCCAAAAGCCCTCCCTGATAATCTCAGCACACAGACTCTGCTTTCCTTAACACTTTATATATTTATTATTTGTGCCACCTTATCAGCCATAGGAAAGATAGTATATAGGAAAAAGACAGGAGTTGCAAGTCAAAAGACATGAGCTGAATTCCAGTTTCAATACTTTCACAGCTGTGCAAACCCAGGAAAGTTACCTAGGCATTATAAGCCTATTTACTGATCTATAAAGTGAATAACAAAACCTGCTCTAGAGTATTGCTGGACATGGCAGATATATGAAAATATTTTGTAAATTTTAAAGAACTCTATAAATGTTAGTGACCAACATTATCCTGTTCCAGTTTCTAGCTGCTTATATCACATAGCATCTTAATAAAAAACACGAAATATAATATTATCATAATCATTACTCATATGTAAACCTATTTAAAAAGCTATCTTTATAGCCTTCTAAGATAAGACTGTTGTTTAAGCACCATGCTAGGCACATGCTAGTTATTATTAGATTCTATTTTAATTTCTTTCCTTTCTTCTTTTAAATATTTTTCTATTACACTTTGGAGGCACAAGAAAACTAAAGTGTATTTCAGTTGGATTTGATGTCCATACACATTATTATCCTCTATTTAGTTACATAAATAACTTTCCTTTCTTGAAAGCTAAGCTGACTCACCAAATTATAGCCTTTTCCCAAAACAAAAATCCTTTACACAGTTCGGTTTCTTGGGTCAGAAGAAGTCACAAGAGTTTTCCATCTCTCTCAGGGTTAGATACCAGCACATACTAACTCAAAAATCAAATACTCTAGCCTTGCTGCTTCTAAAGCAGCAATTACTCCTTAACATTTGTGGCAATTAATTTAAAATTTTAAGTAGTTCTACAAATCTTTCTTCTTACAGATCATCTTAGAAACTGGTGTCAACAGGTTCTTTTTAGGCTCAGAAAACCAGGGAGGAGAGAGAGACCCCTTACTCAGACCAGCCAACTTATACGGCACTCCGGTAGTTAGTGTCATGGAAAACTGGGGACAGTGATTCTCGTGCTACAAACCTGCCATTTCCATGTGGGATTAAAACCACCTCATCTTCTCTCCTTCCATTAGGAGAGAGGCCTTGTTTTTCTAGTTAACAAACGGGCATTTAAAATGGTAAATCACATGGCTCAGCGTTCAAACGGCCCAAGGGCTTGGATTAAACCTACCTCAGAGGGAACATACTGCTCCATAGCCGTAGCGACGGTCGCACAACAGATCCAGAGCAATACCATCACCGAGAGGACAAGGGTCGTGGTTAAAATCCACCCAGAGTTACTAAAAAACAAGTTAGTCAGGTTAAAATTTCATAATATAAAAGACAGATTCTTAATAATGAAAAGCAATCAACCTTATGCACTTAGTTTAATAATACAAATAAAACTTCATGTGTACTACCTTTAAAACTATTTTAAAAATGTACCCAGAGAAGGAAATATTATAATAACTTTTTTATTAGGGTCCTCCATTTCTCAGGTTTCTGGAATATGGCTATCACTTCTATAATTTAAAAAATCAGATATACTGACTTTTTGCTAAATATATAAAATTAAAGCAAATTACTGTCAAAGGTCTTTTTTAATTACTAAATGAGATAATGCAAATCAAAGTGTTCTATAAATTGTATGCTGCTATTCATATGTCATACATTATTTTGCAAGGCACTATAGTGATACTTGCTTTAAGAAAACCCAGGATCTCAAAGATTTAAGGTATAGAACAGGTACATTATGAAATGATCATTTATTTTATAAAAAGATGCACAACAGGCTTCTAGAAGTTAGCTTCCCTCGAATAGTTAATATAATTAATTTGCCACAATTTACTTATATTTCAATTTACAAGAGCACATCTATTATGAGGCATTTTGTACCCATTATAGCATATCTTAGTAAAGAGATAGTTATATTTTTCTTACGTTTAAAATATCATAAATTTGGCCAGTTACAAGGATTAGCAACTGATGTTTTTCCCATAATTGACCTATTGTTTGCCAAACTATAGATTAAGACTCAAAAAATAAGAAAAAGTCAAGCTATTTTTAAATATTTAATAATCCAGTTCTAAAAAACTGTGATAACTCCTGAAGGTAGTCTGATTTTCACATCTGTGCTCATCCAATACTGCCTGATAAAATGTCTATACTTACCACCATAACCCATTCACTTGATGGTTTGCCAACACTTGAACATGCTAAGGAAAAGGTATGCACAGTCACTGTCTCCCAGCAAAAGAGGTGGACATTGGAAAATGCACTGCATCTAAAAGCAGGGAATGCCTATATGATGTTTTAAGTATTCCAATTCAAAAAGATAACAGAGTAAAAAATATTTTTAATGAAAAAACACCCACTTTACATATTCCAGCCCTAACCCGAGTACTAAGGTATTTCCTTCCATGAAATGAGAAGGATATATTTGATATCTGGATTCCAGTAACAACTTAAGCCAGAAAACTGGGGCTCATTTTAGAGTCCATCTGCTTCTTCCACTTCCACAAAAAAACAATCCTACAGATTCTCAACTATCTCCATTATCTCTTGTTCCCCTTGTCCATCACCCTAGTTCATAACTGCTTGCAGGATTTACCAAGCTCTCCAACCTGATCTTCTATCCTTCACATAGACACCTCTTCCCAATACTTAGATTTGATTACTTTCCTGCTCCTATCTAGTTCCTGTCCACCCAGTTTGGTCTCTGATTCTCCTGACTCTCCATACATATTAATATACTTTATATATTTAGTAGGAAGCCAGCATAGCTGAAAAAAAAATTAAAGAAATCTGTTACAACTAGCAAAAATCTCTGTTCATTATTTAAGATTTATTTCTATGTCCTCTGTCAATCCTCCCTTTTGAAGGTATACTCCTTGTACTATGTATATGAGAGGTATGTATAATATATAGCAATCATCATTGCTTGTTCATTGTTTGCATATTTGTCTCTACCATGCTAGACCTGAGAACTCCATAGAGGCAGAGATTGAACATCTTTCTTTAGGTCCCAAGTCCCTGAAACAGTTCCTGGCACATAACAGACTCTCCCAAAAAGAAATGGCAATTGAAAAAATGAGTTCACCTCAGTTTCCATTCTGGAAGCTAAGGGTACCTCCATAACAGCTACGTAGTACAATAAAAAGCACTGCAGTTAAGAGTCAAAAGACCAGATTCCATTGACTGGCTAGGTGATCTTGCATGCCATCATGAAAAACTCATGACCCTCTAGGAAACAGACACCTATGGCAGAACAGGATGAGTAGAAGTTGCAGAATTAAAAAAGCTAGGTTTGAACTTTAACGTAGTGGATACATAATCTTAGGGGTGGGTAATTCACCTCTGACCCACCTACTTATCACAGGGTACTGTTCTAAGAGTCAAATGAGCTCACTGAAGGGAAAAAGCATTGGAAAAAAAGTTATTTTTTATTAAAATGTAGAATAGTATTATAATTCATGTTTGTGCACAGAAACTTCTAGGCATTAAAGCTCTAGTTAAAAAGTTATTTCCTAAATTAAACATTTACAAAATTACTTTTAAAATGTTAGATTTAAAAGAACATAAAATATAATGACAAAATGCTAAAGGGTATATAAGTCACCAGTAAGCTGCCAGGCAGTACAGTATTGAGAATAAACTGTAACTGTAACTTAAGATTAAGTGATTACTTAGGTTTCATAAGACCGGCAAACTGCAACAAAAATCCTAAATATCAGAGACAGAAGAATTATGCCTGTATTCTGCCAAGGTCAAAAGCAGGTTTAGAAATGAAAGGAAGGGAAAATTTAAAGTTAAATCCTCATTCTTCTTACCCAGTCTTTTTTTTTTTTTTTAAAGATTTTATTTATTTATTTGAGAGAGAGAGAGAGTGAGAGAGAGAGCGCAAGAGGGGGTAGGGTTAGAGGGAGAAGCAGACTCCCCGCTGAGCAGGGAGCCCGATGTGGGACTCGATCCCGGGACTTCGGGATCATGACCTGAGCCGAAGGCAGTCGCTTAACCAACTGAGCCACCCAGGCACCCTTTACCCAGTCTTTAAAGCCTTTGTTTGGTAAAAGGAATTAATTTTTAGGTGCCAAAATAACCCTGCTGATACCTGATAAAACCTGTCAAGAAACTATTTTATTGTAAGAAATTATAGGAAGCAGGCAGTTTGGACTACTGTAGTGTTACACTTGAGACAGAAGAGCCCACTAGAGTATACACACTGTGAGGGCAAGCATTTGTTTACCACTTCTACTCAAATGCTTGGTCTGGTATCTGACACAGTAGATAATTATCAGTAAGTGCTATGGGCCACTGTCTTTCTCTTTCTTCTTTTTTTTTGGGGGGGGGGTGCTATAGGAGGAGAGCTCATATCAGAATTCTTTGGAGGAGGAGAAGCATACATATTTTAATAAAACCCCCCTCGCTCTCAGAAGGCTTGATACGCCTTCCTAGGAGAGCATAAGGTACCCATTACCCCTGCCTGCCTACTTTCCCCTGCCATCTTTAAGGATCCTTGGCATAGAGTTGACACTCCTTAGCACAGAATACAAAGCTCTCCTTAATCTATACCCCTTACCTACTCTCCCTAGCCTCATGTGCTGTCATGTAGATAAAAACAAAAATCCAACCCCAAACCATTCAGACATACTTTAAAGCTTAATTTAAATGTCTGGAGAAGCACATTTCTTAACATAAATCAGGGAATCTTAACAAGAACAAGAATGCTTCTGTATTGTGAAAAAAACTACCTGCTTGGGTTTTATTATAGTAGTATGTGTATTACCTTTTAAACAAACTAAAGTATCCAAAAGTACAAGTTGGTAGGAAAAAGGTAAACAATTTTTTAGCAGCTGATATAATTTTAAAATAATAAAAAGGAATGCATCTGTCTGATACAAGCCAGATTTTATCACTGATACATATAAATAAACAGGAATACATACAGAGACAGACATCTTAAAAAGCCATCACTTTCTCCATCTTCAAGATAGTTCCTATGTGTTTGTGAACTTCTCATTTGCAGATCTGTTGAAATAACAAGGTACAATTTATGATATCCTATATCCCAAAAGCTAGTCTCAAAACTACTCCTAGATATACAGACTGTACAGATACCCAGTTGCTTTTGTAAGTGTAATCTGATACACTGATAAGGAATGCAAGTTCCTCTGGCATGTTAAACACCAAATGAATATTCTACCACATTATGGATTTCCTATTTTATTTTCAAATTCTTGTTGACATTGCTACTTTCTGTTTAATTACATTCTGTTTAATTCTATCTAATTACAAGATAATTAGAAAGTTAATTAAATCAGTATCTAAAATAAGGTATGAACATTTTAAAAGGTAGGCTCAGCTTTAGGTTGATATTATACATTCCTATAAGTTAAAATTTATTTCTAGCATGGAAATAAAAATAGAACAAGAACTCACACTTTTGGGATAGTTTCACTATTCAGTTAGCATATCAGAAATATCAGAATACTTCATTAGTTCATAGTCAAAATATCCTTCAAAGCAAGCTACATGTCTTTAGAATACTGATTCTCAAAGTGTGATCCCCTAACCAACAGTATCAACAAAATCTGGGAACTTGTTAGAAATACAAATTCTCAGGTCCTATCCTAGACCTAGTAAATTGGAAACTTTGGAAGTAGGGATCAGAAATCTGTTTTAACAAGCTCTCCAGATCCTAATGCACTCTAAAGTTTGAGAACCACTGTTTAGAAATTATTTGTTCACTTTCTGTTAGTGTAAGAACAATCATACAACCAATTCCAGACCACAACCAGATTTGCTAGTGTTGTTATCCCAAGCTACTTGAAATAAAACTTACAGGACATTTTGCTTAGCGACGATTCTTTCCAATTTGTAGGCTCCTGCTCCAACTGTGGTGCATACTGGATTTCTGGCTTAGACTAAAATGATAATGAAAGCAATTAAGCCATTTCTACTTCTTATGCTTTTCTCAGTAACAAGTTCTATAACACATCATCTGTATAAACACTCAAATTGAGAAAAAGTAACAGAAGTTTGGTATAAAAAATAAAACACATTAGCCACAATGTATTTTAATTGCACTTCCTAAACATCAGATCCACTGCCTTGCAAAGAAACAGACAGATTTCTGGCATCGTCAAGTATTTAGTCAGTTTAACTTTCTGACAACATTAAAAATAAATTAAAAAGCAGGGACAAATTACAACATACTGCATTAAATATCATACCCTGCAAAAATGAATTCTAATTCTAGTTGATCAAGAATAATTTAGTGGACTGCCAAAATTCTGGGCTAAACATCTATTATCTCTATTTTTCTCATCTGAAACATTCCATTTTTCCCTAAGTATGAGTAATTCATACATTATAGCTAAATACTCCATGCTCTACATCCTCCATATAGGACAGATCCTCTGGAGCAGGGGTTTCTCCCGTCTAGTTACACAGAAGTTAATACAAAGAGAGAAACAAAGCTCATCTCACATCTAATCAGGAATGAATGAGGGCTCCACTCTGAGATTCAACTTAAGCTTTAAGCTAATTAGCTTTAGTACACAGAAATTACTCATGTATTTAAAGAGAAAAAATTCCTTCTGTGTTTTACTTATTACCAAATTATGTATAGACGACCTAAGACTCAGGATAATGCCACATACTAGCCTTACAGTGAGCCATTCTATTAGCAATAATAATTAAAAGGTTTACTTTAATTATTACCTGAGAGAAAGTGCCACAAGATAGTTTGTGGTACATTTGAGGAATTTAACTACCAAATTAAAAGGAAGATAGCATGGTAGGGTGGGATATAAGCCTGGGAATGAAAATAACCTGAGTCTGAAGCCTAATTCTGTTACTTACCGGCAGGGTGACCTTAAAAAGTTAGACTCTTGGTTTCCTTATCAATAAAATAGGGATAATACAACCTCATGAAGGTGTTTAAAGATTTGAGATAACATATGTGAACGCCTAGTACATAAGAACCTTTAAGAAAAGCAGTTATTATCATCACATCACATGGTCAGTAATGAGGTAGGAGAAGTTACTTCTCTAGGAGGCAATATGCTTCTTCAATAAACTCCTACAAGAGTTATGAAGAAAAGCACTACAAAAAACTAAAAATGACGTATATTCCTCTTCTTCAATATCCATATGTGATATATATATTCATGCCATTATTTACATTCAAAGTATATTCATTACTCTTATCTCTCATATCTAAAGGTTTCATTTTATCAATTTAACCACTATAAAATTTAGAAGACTCAGAGTTCTTGTTAGAAGGACCATGGGCTTGAGATAGGCTTCCGATGGGCAGAGGGAAGTCTCACTGTGTCTTGATGCCCAATGTTTAATGTAGGCCAAATCAGTAATTACTATTTGATGATGTATATGGCTCTATGCCAAGACACTCATTTAAGACATGTACACTTACTATTGTCAGTATTTAGATGAATTTATGAAGCACAGTTATTACCTGGAATATAACTATTTTTCCATCATCAGCTTGAAGATAAAAAGTCCATGAAGAGGTTATGAAGCTCTGAGCAGAGTCCATCATGTCACTCCAGAATGACCTTACCAGAGTTAGAGGGAAGAGGAGATGCATTTTTGGCATCAGGGACATGAGCTTTAAAAAAAAAAAAAAAGGTAAATCATGAGAAATCTATTATTTTTATATATGTATATTCAAGAGAACAAACTTAATTAAGATTCCCCAAATCTAGGGACAGGGAATAAAAAGTGATTCTACCATAATAACTAGCATTAAACTCCTAGTTTCCTATGCAAATGAACTGTGATAAAGCTTAAGATCCCAGGCTACTTTAATTTGCCACCATACCCACATATAAACTACCTATTACCTCTATCAGAATAACAGGCTTTTGAATCTTAAGATTTGATTAAATAAGGATTAGCAAGGTCTCAAGAGGTGGAAGGGGGAAGGACAAATTCTACCATTCTCATCTTTAACGCTTTTATGTAAATACATCATGCTATAATGAACATCAGTGGAAAAGGGGAAGGAAAAAAAGCCAACCAAAAGAATATATGCATAAAATGTGAGACATCTGATAGCAGGGCAGGGTGAGGGGAAAACCTATGCGCTGAATATATATAGTAAACTACCGATTTTAACATGAATGGTGATCATGTTCCCCAAATTCTGACTTTTTCACTTATTTAGCAGCAGTGGGCCCCTCTAAAGCACAAGTATGGGATACCATTTGCTGCACTCTAGGGATGGCTTTGGTTCTGCTATATTTCAAAAGAGAGGCATTATGGAGTAAGAGATCAGTTTGTAGAATCAAAAGATCTATATTCATGATCCAATTTTCCCACTAATAGCTGTGAAATTTTTCATTGATTAATTCACCAAACAAGTATTCACTGAGATTATACATTTTAGGAGATCAGGGACCATGTGTATTTTATTCATCAACATATACCTGTGCTTAAACTGTGTAATCTATATAGGACAGAGGTTAAAAACAGGGTAATACATGTGTATGGAGAAAGGCACCTAACCCAAACCAAGGTGAGAAGGGGTTAAGAAGGCTTCACAAAAGAAATGATATCTGCCCTGAATCAAGGGGATTCAGTAGAAGGATGGGGAGTAGAAGGAACAAAACCATGAATTAACTCATCATATAAAAATTAAGAACTATTCAGTATGTATACAACTAAGAGAAAAAAAAATCTCTTAAAAATTAGAAAACATGTTTAACATTACTCACAGTAAGACCAACACAAATTTAAAATATATTAAAAGTGATACATTGTTGGGAGTTGGGGAAGAAGGAAAGAAGTGGGTATGGGATTTCTTTTTGGGGTGATAAAAATGCTTGCAATTAGATAGTGATGATGGTTGCACAACTTTGTGAACATACTAACAACTACCGAATTGAATACTTCACAAGGGTGAATTTTATAGTATGTGAATTATATCTCAATTTTAAAAATTGGTACAAATTCCAAAGAGGGCAATTTTGCTCTACTTCTCAAAATTAAAATACAGATACCTCTTGCTCAGCAATTCTACTATGATTTTATTCTATAGATATAAATGTGTGAAGTATGCAACATCGCTTATAAGTGAAAAAGATTAGAAACAACCAACATGTCCAAATAAGAGATTGCTTAAATAAATTATGATACATCCACAAAATGGATTGTACAATGAAAAACAGAATGAGTAGACACTCTTTATGTATACTTGTATTTTACAAAAGAAGGAATATATATATATTCTTGTACATGCATAAAATATGTCTTTCTTGGTAACCCTGGCTACATTAAGAGGAAAACTGAATGGCTAGGAGATACAGGGGTAGGAGATTTTTCACTACATACTCTTTTTACCTTCTGAGTTCTATACCATGTAGCTGTACTTTCTATGCAGAAGTTAATAAAATTAACAAACTTTATCCAGTATGTTTGGAGTATAGAGTATGAGGGGTGGGGAAAAGAGATGGCCTAAGAGAGGTAATCAGGAGCCAGGCCACGATAAGCAGTTTGGACTTAACCCAGTATGTAATTGGGGAGGGGGTCCTGAAGCATGTAAGACAGGAGAATGACATGATGAGATTTCCATTTAGAAAATAAATATCTGAACACACACTAAAGGATGGACAGAAGAGGGTGAAGTGGAAAAATAGTTTGCAAGTTTAGTAATACAGATGAGAAAGGAATGATGATCTAAGTTAAGGCAATGGCAGTTGGGGTGAAAAAAAATGACTCTCAACTATCCACTTCTCTGAGCCTCAGTTTTTTCATATGCAAAATGGGGATAATATCATCACTGGACCGAGAGAAAAAAAACGAAAGAGATTATGGATATGAATGTAACTTTTAACAGTAAAGCATTACACAAAAGTAATTATGCAATTGACTTTTCTATTTGCAAACATATAATTTGTTTGCTGAAAACTATAAAATATAACACTAAAACAGTATCTAGTGGGCGATAAACATTTCAATACAAGTCAGTGCAATTTAAGCAGGCAATTCTGAAAGGCAGTATTTGTTTCATACTTGTTCTTGTCTCAGTTCAGCGAATGGCAGCTGATTCTGGCAACCAAGATGGCAAGCATATTGCTCATCAGATTGGGAATATGCTTCTGTACATGCTGTAAGAGAAAAACAGTCAAATTACAAGGAAAAAGAGAGAGACGAAGGAGAGGAGAAAAAGGGAAGGAAAGAAAAAGGGGAAGGATAGAAAAGAAGGGATTTGGCGTTTTATAAAAAAAATTTCTTTTACTTAAAAAGCATTTCATCAATATGAATTTCATCAATATGAATTTTCAAAATTTGATAATAGTAGCAAATGTACTATCTTAATAAACCCCGTTATCTTCTACCTCCCACACGTCAGATGTTTCCAGTATAAATCTACTGATTACACACTCAGGCTCAGGCTAGATGATGACATTCATAATAAGGGGATCCTCACCGCTAAGGTTTGCAAAGTGGAAAAAACACAGTCTGGCATCCTGAAGTTGGGCTCCATACACATTTGGCTGTGTATGTGTCCTGGGCCATGCTGTTTAACCTCTCCAACTGTTGATTTCTATATGCTTAAAATGGAAATGCCATACTTCACGGAGTTGAACAATGTATTTTAGTGATTTACACAAATGTGTGACATTACCGTTAAGAATTGGATCACTCTGCTGAGACTCAAGGGTATTCCCATAGCAAAGAAAAACAAAACAATCAGTTTAACACCCTAAATTCTGAGAAACTGAACTTAGAAAGTGTTCTACAGCAGGATTCCAAAGTTAAGATGGGTACACACCCTCTTCATTTAGTTCACTAGAGCCAGTTCTTTCTTGTGATATATAACACTTTACCACCGTAACAATTTTATTTTTCTTTCCGACCCAGTCATGTATTTGTAATATACTTCTCAAAGGTGCTAGATAATAAATTGAACATCATTATGCACATATAAAGATTGCCAGTTAGGAGACTGAGCCATAAAAAATAAGGTCATGAAATCAAGGAGACTAGACAGGAGTCACGGCATAGTGATGTGGAAAAAGATACCTCCTGCTACACTGAATAAACAGCATAATGTAATGAATGGAGAAAATTCCAATATAGTTTCTTTGAAAAGTTAAATGTCAATTTTGTCTTGATTACAGGGTTCTTTCATTAACCACATCTCTTTCAGCAAAAGGTAAGAACAGTGATTTAAGAGATGACAGACTCTGGTTACTTCTTTTATCGGCATGACCCACAAAGAATACACTATTAAATAGTGAGTCAAAGGCCTGATTCAGTGGAAAAAAAACTTGAGCTAAATCAACTGGCCTATGATTGAAAGGCTTAGGGAAATTATACTACCCATTGAAAAGGTAGTGATGAATTATGAGAAGGGTAATTACTACTGCATTTAAACCGAATGCTTGGTTACACAAAGGTGTCCTACCCACGGTACAAAATCAACATTGTCTCAACAAATAGGAGTAGCCCCCACTTTTCAGGAGTTCATACCTATTTTTGCTAACCAAAAGAAATCCAAAGAGGATTCATGCTTTGATGAAAAAGAAAGCGAAAACAAAGTTCAGCATTTGTTTTGCAGCGAGCCATTGCAGAGGCAGCACGCACGCCCCAGCAGCAAGAGAGGCACCACCAAGCTCCTCCCCGGGGAACGCTGCTCCGCATCCCGCCGCCAGAGCTTTGAACTGTGTCTGTGAGCATCTGTGTTTTATCTTGATTTACGTTGTGCCTCCTTAGCAAGGTGTGTCCTGAGGTATCAGAAAAGCCTAGGAGAGGTTATTTTGGGGGACTGAGAACACTCAAAAATTTTTCCATGTAAATTAATGGTAATTGCTTCTTTGCTTTATGCCATTTTGGCTCAGGAAAGGTTTCATAGGAATGCTCTACTTTCCTATAGCGGGGAAACCTAGAGATGAAACTGATAGTCCATGAAATTTCTAGCAGCAGCTGATAAAACTCAAACCTCATAATAATTAAAATATGCTAAAATTAGTTTAAACAATATGCTTGTCCTTTTCTGAGGAAAACATGTAAGGAGCATAACACAACCCCCAAAAAACCACAATGTTATATACTGTTAGCATAGCATCTTACCAGATTCACATTCCATTTTGGTCCGATTTAAATCAATTCCATCATCCACAAACTGACAAATTGAAAACAGCCTGCAACCTCTCTGACATGCGTACAACTCCTCTTCCTAGGGAGTTCAAGAAGAAGGAGGATTACAAAAAAAAAAAAAATAGTATTTTTTCCTCAGGGGGAAAAAAAGGTCAAAAAGAAAGTTAGTAGGGTTTATTATAAAATGTGCACTAAAAGTTTGTAACTTTTAGAAAGAAAGAAATATGATAAGAGCCAGGTAATACCGAAGACCTCTGCCATGTAAAGAGGTTTTAGTTTCTTATTTTAAAAGTGATACCCAAGAAAGAAGCCTAGTGGGTAAAAAAAAAAAACTATACCCTTTTCCCATATTCCAAGGTTACACTTTGTGGGAAAAATTTGAAAATAAAAATAACAGTGACATAATCAGAACTTTAACAGAGGTAGAAATGAGTAAGCAAGTATCTTAGGATGAATGGCATACCTCTGCCACATAAATATTTATACAAATCATCAGGCTTCTCAGGAAAAAGTATCATGACTAGCTTCACATGGCAAATAGGGCCATAAAGGCCCCCACAAAGTGAGGCATACATCTATAAAAATGCTTACATGAAAGGCGCTTTTAAACTTGGCTTACTTTAACTGAAAACACAAACAAGAGCAAGTGTGGCATATGGGAAAGGGCTCTGGAACCAGCCAGACCTGGATTAAAATCGTTCAGGTGAGTGACGCTGCACAAGTTACTTTACTGATCTAAATCTCAGTTTTCTTATCAGAAGAGCAGATAATAGCTATAAATTATCTCCAAACCCCTCAACAATGCTGGAACATAGCTATTCCCGGTATAGTGCCTGGGACACAGATGGTGCTCAATAAATGGTAGTAGTGTTAATCACAATAATAGATTTTTTTAAAACAGAAAACAATAGCTACAGGCATCATTGCCTATCTATGGGAGCTCAGGATAGGGTCGATTCTTCATTACGGGGCAATGTTAACTGCTTAATAAGACCAATAACAATGTCTTCAACAGGCTTTTGTTAGATGAAGTACATACAGTATTTGACACAAACCAGTATACGTGGGGGAGCCCCTTCAACTTACTGTGTGATCCACTGTGTACAAATTGGCGGGCACCTAATAAGGAAGCAAACAGCATGTGCATATACCAGTTAGCGATCAATGGAAGAGAAAGGTGTGCATTTCTTTCCAGCAGAAGGATTAGTAAGACGTATGCAGCAGCAACACCCATTTAGAAGAGACGGCTGCAGTCTGACATTAAACAAGTGTTACATATAATTTTGAAGCTAGGGTGTTTTTGGACCTGAGTTCTAGTTGCATTTATTGTTAAGGTGAAACTGAAAGAATTTTAACAATTAAGATAAATTTCATACCTGAGTAGCTTTTGCAGCTTTGTAAAACAGTGGAAGAATTCTCTCAGGTATTTGGAGCATCACATACCTCCTTATACTGCACAGAGGAAGCTTGAGCTCATTAGTATGAGCTATATTGCACGCCATTTCATTTTCAGGTAGGTTTTCTTTTCGTAAACCAAGCCAGTAAGCCCTCCAGGCTCATTTTCAAAAGAGAGTAGGGCATGCTGCAAAGAGCCTAGGTCCAGGAATCAGTCCTGCTTTGAAGCTCAGCCCCACCACTTGCTCTGTACAACCTTGGGCAAGTGACAATCTCTCTCAGTCTCAGTTTCCTTGGTTGTAAGATGGGGACAATGCTCTTATGTCAATCTTGACTATGATGAGGATTATACATTTTATGTCCACAATATCATGAATATTATGCTAAACTATCTAATAAATCAGCATAATAATAATATATTTAATGAGCACCCACAAAGTACCAGACACCACGCTAACACTTAAGGTATTATACAATGTCCAGCACAGAGTAGGGGCTCAATTGGTAGCTATTAAGAATCATATCCTTGGGCGCCTGAGTGGCTCAGTCGGTTGGGCGACTGCCTTCGGCTCAGGTCGTGATCCTGGAGTCCCGGGATCGAGTCCCGCATCGGGCTCCCTGCTCGGCAGGGAGTCTGCTTCTCCCTCTGACCCTCCCCCCTCTCATGCTCTCTGTCTCTCATTCTCTCTGTCTCAAATAAATAAATAAAATCTTCAAAAAAAAAAAAAAAAGAATCATATCCTTATTCCAACTGTTTCATGTACTAGATAATACTATTATTCTAAGTAAATATTTCATGCTCTATGTATCTCAAATGATTGGCAAGCTTATCTGAAATGTATCTCCTCTGATTTAGAGCACAAGGAAATGGTGCTCCCCACCAAACTGAATGCCAGCTAAATAATCAGAAGGGACCTCAATGATACTATTTATAGAATATATGCATTTTCTTTCCCAGAGCTAAGTCAAGCTAACTATTCTCATTATTTAGCACCGTTATTCAGATACTATATGTACCAAACTGGTTTTATGTGCTAAGAGTGCCACATACATTATCTTTAATCCTCACACCAGCTCTGTAAGGTGTGAGGCGTTTTTTGTTGTTTTTTTTTTACAGTTGACAAAATGAAGTCACGAGAAGTTAAGTGATCAGCAAAGATACACATAGAGTAAAAGTGGAGCTGGGAATGGAACCCAGGCTTGTACAGTTCCAGAGCCCACACTCTAAAAATGACCAGGTTGGCTCTAATTAGCTTTGCTGTTAACATAACATACGTCTCTTGTATTTGAACCCAGACAAATTATGCACCTGCATTTTTTAAGAAAGTTAATTGGTAACTATATTGGAATTTTAAAATAACTACTTACAGATATTCTACTTTCTTGCAACAAATAATTAATTCGAAAAAGTCATTAAAATGAGATTTCTATCTTCCAGTTGCAAATACCAGACTGAAAGGCTATGTGAGCTTCTTAATTCATCTAATTTCTTAAAACACACACTGCTTTTTCCTGAACTGCAAAGCACAGTAATTCAGAGGGCCAAAAGAAATCAGTGAAATAAGTAAATTAAATATTTTTAATACAACTTTATTAAGAGAAGGCAGCACACTGTAGCCAGTATTAGGACTGAATTCCTACCACTCCACTACTTCTTAGCTATGTGACCTTAGGCAAGTCACTTAACCTTTCAGAGCCTCAACTGTAAAATCCTACTTTGCATGGTTGTGACAATTAGGGATAATGGGTATAAATCTCTCATCAAACTGGCTAACCGAGAGTAGACAGTTAATAAATTTTAAGTCCATCTAACATACAGGGACCCAAATGACTTCGAGTTCCTGGGGAGAACAGTTTTAATGAAGAAGCAAAAATGACTTACAGACATCACATCAATTGTTAAAAACTGTTAAATAGTGGATGTTATAAAAGTACCTGAAGTTTCCAGAAACATTTATAGTAGTTAGTTATTTTCCCAGCATTCTGGGTCATACTACAAGTTTGCTAGGAAAATCTCAAAAAAGGAAAAAAACACAAGAAAACACTAGAAGGATACAAAATAAGTCTCCATTCAATGCCAGGCCAAATAAATCTTAGTGATACATACAATCTTCTTAATGATGACAGGCTTATAAGTAGAGAAGAAAGTAATGTGTTTAGGGGCAGTACACATTGATTTAAACCTGGAAGTCAGAATCTCTCATTTCTTTCTCCTCATTGCTATATTAGTATCGGACTGAAAATTTTAGGATAATCAAGCTCCCACACTTTTTCTTGAAAATTGATAAACCCCATGCAACATAAAATCCTGCAGTAAACAGACATATGGGAAGTGAAAGCATTTAGAGCTTTTCCTATCAAAGACCTGAAAGCATTTGCCAATAAGGAACATCCTAAAGTTCATCGGCCCTCTCCTCGTGGTCACCTCGTAGTCTGAGAGAGCAAAGAGGGCTAGCCACACGGTTAAGCCAACAGCACAGAGGAGATAAAAGGAATACAAGGAGGAAAGACCAGTAACAACAGCAAAAGCTCTTACAAAAAAAGCCAGTGGGGGGAAGGGCGCATATATCCAAATTATATATGGGAAAGGGTGGGGAGTCACCACACAATTTAGAATGTTGAGTAAAGAGTTCCCAAGTTGAAAAAAAAAACAAACAAAAAACTTGAGAAGCAGAACGGAATTAAAGGAAAGGCATCAACCGCAGGCGACGAGAAGTGAAAGCAGGGTCACTCCCCTCGGTAAACTGGGACCCCGACCCCCCCAGGGGCAGTCTCATTTCTATACCTGCGCCACGAATTCCCTCTGTCTTCTGCACTGAACGGTAATTCTCTGAATGCAGAAACCTAATTGCTTTTTCTCTAAGCCACCTCAAACCCTAGTGGCAGTCTCGCACACAGTAATTCAACACAGGCGGAAAGCCCTTCCTGCGCGTCTCTCAACTCCTAGGGCTGACTTAATATATTTCATACCACGGTGGAATTGTCTGCTTGTCTGACTCCCAGAACACACTGTGCGCTCCCGGCCCAGAGAGGCGCTCAGTAAACATGGGCTATGAACTAACCTTTAGTGGGCTTGCATATCTGCTCCTGCCCCCCACCATCCCTTACGCTCCTTGAAAGTGAAGACCCTGCATTAATCATCCATATCCTCCTCCCCAGGGGGTACAGCTCAGTGGCAGAGCATTTGACTGCATATCCTCCTCCCCATCGGAGTGCTCGTCTCCCCTGCCGCCCCGCAAACTGCCAGGGGAACGGGGTCATGTCTTGCCCATCTCTGCGTCCCCAGCCTAATATAGGGTCGATGCAGCACAAACTTCCGGTAATTACAGCAGGAGATGGGTGCGGGTAGAATTAGGGAAGAAAACAGGAGCTACACAGGTGGGAGACAGCGGTTGTAGGGTGTGGATTCGACACCCAGTTTCCCAAGCCGACACAAGTGCGAGAGAGCGGAGAGATCGGCGGCCAGGGGAGGGTCGTAGCCCGGTTCGGACGGGCCCTACCTTGGGGTAGGTATGCAAGGGGAAGGTCAACTGACAGGCCCGGTGACAAGACGCCGTATCACCCAAGATCGAGTCAAACGCTTCAGCCGAAGCGGTCCCCGAGCCTCCGGCCAGGGCCATGGTCAGCAGCAGCAGCGGCGGGAGCCCCAGCTGGGCCCTGACCCAGAGGCTCCCTTTCGGCGCCGCCATTTTGTTTCCCTCTGTCACAGTAGCTCAGCTTGTTGCTGTTTTCTTTTCAGGGTTTCCTCCGCCTTCCGGGGCCAGCCCCTTCCCCGCCCCCCAGGCCGCCGCTTCCGCCTCCGCCGTCTCCTCAGCTCCGCCCTGACCCGCCCAAAACTGCCGCCTCCCGCCCCACCTCCAGGTCTAAGAACTTCTTCTAGGTTGGCAAGAAGAGATGGATCCAATCATCGCGAGTATTAGAGCGAACAGGCCTTCCCTGAGTCCTTCCCTCCGCGGGGCACGCTGGGGCATGTAGTTCTCTGCGACCGGCGGCACACGGTGGGGTCGGGAAAGTCGGTCTCGGAGAACTACAGTCACCGTGGGCGCGCCTCACCCGCTCCTTTGCAGTGCATGCTGGGGAATGTGGTTTGCGGAGGTTCCGAGGCGCTCTGAGGTCCGAGAAACCACCGTCCCGTAAGAAAGCGTCAATATAATTCTGACCCCGGCGGCCCAGGCGTGGGTCCTCAGAGGGTGTGCTCCGCAAGGGTCCAGCTGCTGACAGGACTGCTTTTCCTGGTGGGTCTCACGTCAGACCGTTGTTAGTTTCCCCTTCCTGGGTCCTGCGTGCTGAGGGTAGAGGAGGATGGTGTTTTCCCTTTGCCCAGGGATTCAGGGCGCGACAGTCGTGGTGAGGGTCCTCGGACCACCGAGCAGTTCCTGGAGATGGCTGCTTGTTGTGAGGACCCTACTGAGATCTGGAGGTGGTGGTTGGTTGCTCGTTACTAGGCGAACCTTTGGGACTGTGATTATGGTAGGGTAGTTGTTAATATTGAGCCTCATGGAACCCAGTGGAACTAAACCCTGCCTCAACCTCACCTAAGTTGAAAAAGGCTTTTAGAAGTCACCGGGTTCAATGCCTGGCCCAATATTGGAAGCCCCTGCACAGCGTGCACTTCTGAAAGCTGGGCACCTCCTAACTCAGGAATTACACCGATCATGTATAACAGTTTCAGTTCTTAGGAAGATATTTCTTTTCTAAGACGAAATTTTCTTTCCTGTAAATTCTACCCAACAGTCCTCGTATTCAGGAATGCTTCCAGAATAGAATAGAAGCCCATTGTGTCACTTTAGGGAGAACACATCACAGCAGTTTTTATGACGTTTTAGAATCTTCCCTCTTTCTTGAGCAGAAAGCGCTGCAAGCACGTGAAGGTAGTTGGCAGTCCTCTAGCAATGGATAAATTCGTCATTCGAACGCCTAGAATCCAAAATAGTCCTCAGAAGAAAGATCCTGGTGGAAAGATTTACAAGCAGGCCACGATTGAATCTCTAAAGGTGAGAGGGAGAGGGGATCTGGGGCTAGAGAAAATGTGGAAAGGACTGTGGTAGCAAGGTGGTGCGTAGTTCTACTATGGAAGACCTATGAATTCTTTCTTGCTATGCTTTCTCCCCAAAGTGTTCTGGACCACTCCTAATTTGTTTTCTCCCACTCTGTACTGACTTTCATTTATCAATTCCCACAGGCACTTTTCTTACTCTTCTGATTACTTTGGCTGTATGGTATGTTTTGCTGGCTGAGAGAACAAGCCCCCTCTTATTTTTTTTGCAAGATTTTCCTGTCTGTTAGGAACGTTAAAGTACGAAATATGATTCTGTGTACTCTGTACAAACTCAGTAAGACTGGGTGGTGATATTCTACTTTCGTGCCTTATTGGCCAGAGCTGTATCACATGGCCTTCACAGCTATAGCTGAGACTGGGAAACACTGTGTTAATGGACTCTTTGCAACCTCTGCATGTCTGATTTCTGTTCACAAAGAAGAGGCAAGGAATAAATACAGGATAGACAATAATGAATCAATGGACATGGGTACCCAATTAATGATAAAGTAAAAATTATTTCACTAAAAACAAACATATTTGTAATTGGTTCCCTTTGCCTCCTTGACCTTTTACATTTCTGGTCTTTTCAGTTTCCTTTATTGGTTCCTCCTCCTCCACCAGACTCCTAATATTTGTTCTCCCCAGAGCTTCGTCATATTTTATGTATTTGGCCAGGGTAACCTTATTTATCTTAAGGCTTCCCATGCTGATGACTGCCAGACTTGTACTTCGAGCCTGTATCTCTGACGATGAGAATGATATCTGGGGCTAGAGAAGGTGTGCACAGGGTTGTGATAGCAAGGTGGCGTTCTGAGTACTTGACCTATGTACTCAGTTGGACTCCTCTTCTAGATGTGCCACAGGGTTACCAGAACCAGATTAGAAAGCAGTGCAGGGGTGTATAAACAGAAGCCCTGAGTTCTAGGCCCTCCAGTGCAACTAGGTGGTCTTTAGCAAATCATTTCCTTACCTAGGATCTCACTTTGTCCTCATCTGGAAAATGTGGGGTCGAACTTTATCAGTATTTTTTTTTTCTAAGATTTTATTTATTTATTTGAGAGAGAGAGCATGAGCCAGGATGGAGGGGCAGAGGGAGACGGAAAGCAGACTCTCTACTGAGCAGGGAGCCCGCCATGGGGCTCCGTTCCAGGACCCTGGGATCACAACCTGAGCTGAAGGCGGGCACTTAACTGACTGAGCCCTCCGGGCACCCCTATTAGTATTTCTTCAAAGGAACATTGTTGTCATGTGGGGCAAGGTAATTCTTCATTATTTGGAACTGTCCTGTGAGTTACTGAACATTGACACTCCCTGGCCTTCAGACACTAAATGCCAACAGCACCTCCCATTGTGATAAGCAAAACTGTCCTCATGTATTTCCAAGTAGCCCTTGGTTGAGATCTGCTGAATTCTAGATGGTCTTTAAAAATCTCTTCTGGTCTTGGAGTTCTGTGCATAATCAAAATTTTCAACTGTCTCTGTTTTGTCAGAGTGCTCATGGAGTTGTATACAACAGTGACTCTCAATGACAGATGGTGGTGGGCAGGATTGTGATATCAAACTGGAAGAAAAAGAGAAGGGTAGTAATTGAACTACTCATACACTCATATATAAACATCCAGATTCTAATATACTTCCACCTGCCTCTTCTCCCCTCTGTGTCCCCACTTATGCCCCAATTGAGAGTCCCTGTGTGAAGAGAATACATCATGTGAAGGTTATGGAAGCAGAATAAGCAATAGGCGTAGAGAGAAGAACATTCCTCTTAAATGCAGTAGCTTTTCTTCCAAACCTGTTCTTTATTCTCCTGTATTTACTTTTATTTATTTATTTATTTATTTATTTATTTTTATTTACTTTTTTAGAGAGAGCACATGAGTGTGAGCAGGGGAGGGGCAGAGGGAGAGGGAGAGAGAGAGACTCTTAAGCAGACTCCATGCTCAGTGCAGAGGTCGTGACCTGAGCTGAAATCAAGAGTCGGACACTTAACCAACTGAGCCACCCAGGTGCCCCCTCCTGTATGTACTTTTAAATCCATATACCAAGTAACTAGGACTAGAAACTTGGAAACTATCCTTAACTCTTATATCCAGTTTTCAATTCTGCCTCCTAAAAATCCTCCTTGTCCTTACATCTCCCACTTTAAATTTAAAACTCTCTCATCTAGGGGCACCTGGGTGGCTCAGATGGTTAAGTGTCTGCCTTCGGCTCGGGTCCTGATACCAGGGTCCTGGGATTGAGCCCCACATCGGGCTCCTGGCTCGGCGGGGAGCCTGCTTCTCCCTCTCCCTCTGTCTCGCCCCCTGCTCATGCTTTCTCTCTCTCTATCTCTGTGTCTCAAATGAATAAGTAAAATCTTTAAAAAAATAAAAATAAATAAATAAAAATCTCTCATCTAGAGCAGTGCCATGGTCTGGTAACTTGTCTCTCTGCCTTTGACATCCTCTCTCATTCTCCCTTCCACACTTAAGCCAGAGAAATAAAAAAGACAGTCTACTCAGGTCACTTCCCTGCCTCATCCTTCCGTGGTTTCTCATTACCTATCGATGAAGACATTTCTTTTTTTTTTTTTTTTAAAGATTTTATTTATTTATTTGAGAGAGAGAATGAGAGAGAGAGAGCACATGAGAGGGGGGAGGGTCAGAGGGAGAAGCAGACCCCCTGCTGAGCAAGGAGCCCGATATGGGACTCGATCCCGGGACTCCAGGATCATGACCCGAGCCGAAGGCAGTCGCTTAACCAACTGAGCCACCCAGGCGCCTGAAGACGTTTCTTTATATGGCACCCAAGGCCCTCTGTGACCTGGTACCTGCCTCATCCCCTGCTGCTCTTATTGTTTACATTCTGTCCAGTGTCAGCCAGTCACAATTTCCCCAAGATGGTGTGGTGTTTCATACCTCCGTACCTTTACATATGCTGTCCTGTTTGCCTGGAATGGCCTTACTCTCTTGGCTTGGTGGCAGTATAGTGTGGTAATTAAGAACACAGACTCTGGAGCCAAACTGCGTATGTTTAAATCCCAGCCATGCCACTTATTATTTGTGTGCCTTGGGCAAGTTATTTAACCTCTCTGTGTCTTTATCTATAATGATAATATCTATTTTATAAGGTAGTTATGAAGGTTGAGTGAGTCAATATATATAAAGTGCTTGGAACAGAACCTGACACATACTAAGTAATGTGAAAGTGTTTGCTGTTACCATCAATTTATGACTTCCTATTTGTCCCCCATGACCTAGTTCAAGTGTCTCCTCTACTGTGAGGCCTTTCCTGATCACCCTTCTGTCCCCCAGACAGAAAGCCAATCTAATCATTCCCTTCCCTCAGCCATCCCTGTGTCTTTTTTTTTTTTTTAAGGATTTTATTTATTTATCTGTCAGAGGGAGAGAGAGCACAAGCAGGGGGAACAGCAGGCAGAGGGAGAAGCAGGCTCCCCACTGAGCAGGGAGCCCGATGTGGGACTTGATTCCAGGACCCTGGGATCATGACCTGAGCCGAAGGCAGATGCTTAACCGACTGAGCCACCCAGGCATTCCATCCATCCCTGTATCTTAAACATGCCCCTGTCATTGCCCTTATTTGTGCTATATTGTGTTTTTTTAAATGCTCTACCGCACTATACTCTGAGCTTCTTGAAAGACTACCATCTTACTGAATTTTGTGTCCCCAGTACTCGGCACAGGGTTTGGTACATAGAAGTTTACAGTGCATTTTTCTGAATGACCAAATGAACTAAAACTCTAAAAGCCTTGGCATGGCATATGAGACCCTTCCTGTTCTACCCCAGGGAGCCTTCTCATTCCATCCCTTATAGCTCCC